CACGTTTCCCACGGCATTTCTCCTGACTTAGCTGGGTGCTGATGGCCTGTCTTTTCAGCTCAGGAACGGCCAGACACAGGCGAAAGGAGGGTGGCTTTCTTCATTCTGTTCTAAGGCAGTGAGGTGGAGGGGTATTATCATCTCCTTCAGTGTCTCTGGGTCAGGGTTGGACAGTTGCTCTTGCTGAAATGAGATGGTACCTGCCTGTCTGTCCTTCCCCGGGCCTCCCTTCTGTGGTCCGAAGCAGCCTAAGTAGACTGATACCTGTATGCACACAACAGGGATTCATGCCAGAGCTGAGGATATGTGGAGCCTGGTGAGGACACAGAATAGGAGCTGGTTTAGCAACAGGGAGCAGAGGACGGACGGACTTGATTTGGTTGGTCGGAAGGAAAATTATAATCTTTTCTCCAAGACACTGAAACTTATTCTAAAGCGACACCGTTGCTCCCGGTGGTCCTGGCCAGCCCTCCCTGTCCCCTGTCCTGCTTGGCCACAGAAATGACCACTTTGCTCTGTAATTCATGTGCAGACTTGAATGTTTCTGTTGGGTCCCAACTTCATGGCTTTGCCTTCCTATTTTCATGCCCAAAGCTCTCCAAATCTATGCCTTCTCCTTGGCTGAGGCGCCTTTTCTCATATCTTTCCCCATTAATTGGTTGGCCCAACATTCTGCAGCTAAGAAGTGGCCAGGATGTGATTTGAACCAGAGACTAAGCTCTTTCCACTGCCACCCCATGCCTCACCAAGCGACGGACTGTCTATCATAACCTATGCTTCCTGGAAGCACCCCTTCCAGGGGCCTGGCATGTGGCAGCAACTACGTATGTGTGGTTGAAGTAAAGAAAGAAGCCTTCCAGACCCAGCCTCTCATGTGAAGCATGTTCTTAGATTTACTCACATTAGCAACCATGTGACTCTACCTAGACAAAGTACATCACATCTTCTACAACTTCCAGCCTTCAGGAATCTGCTGAGAAAGGCTGTGTACATCTTATCCTTTCCCTTTAGAGCATTATGGGCTCACCCTTCACTATGCCAGATGGGCACTTCCTCACCATTCTAGGATATGCCAGTGGGTTCTTTCCAGCATCTAACTGGAAGAAACGAGTTGAGATCAACCCATGAGTGTTGAGGTCATGGTACCCTTACACCAAAGGATCTGTCTAGTGGAAGCTGAGGTGGTCTTGAGCCTGAATCTGGAATTGGCCTCAGGAGGAAGGAAGCAGCATGGCCAGACACAGTGCCTCAGACTGGGATGATTCCCTAGGGTCCATCATACAGAGTCGAGGGGACCAGAGCCACATGAAGGACCAGGGCACATCATTTTAAAAATATAGTCCTATTAAATCAGGCAAATTAGAGTGGTAGCAAGTATTGCATGAATTGTTATAAAACAAACTGTGGAGGAATTTTAAGTTTGTCTGCTTTGGGCTTTACAAGATCCATTGGGTTATCTGTTTCACCCCAGTCTTTGCTACTTTGGGTAGGCCCATGGGAAAACCTGAGACACAATGGAGGAAAAATATTGTCTTTGAAGTCAGAAGGATCAATTTAATTCCTGGCTTCCCCTGTTCACTAACTGGGGAACTGTGGGCAAGTGATGTCTCCTCTCTGAGCCTCAGTTTCCTCATCTGTAAAATGTGTAAAAATCACAAACACATCTTAGTGATGCTGGGAGAATTCAGTGAGCTCACTTGTTAAGAGTCCCTAGCACAGGACAGGGTCTCCTGGTTCCGTGTGAAGGCTCACAGTTGGCAGGCCAATGCTCAGGCCACACCCAAAGAGAGGGCTGGCGCTAAAAGCAATCTGATCCCTCTGTTCCCACAAAGGGAGGTCTGCTATGGTCCTCTAGAGGCCAGAAAGGGTGAAAAGATACAACACTGAGGCACAACCAAGATATTTCCTAAAGGCATCTAGGCCACAAACGCATGCAGCTTGGGGAGAGTTCCTGGCTTCCTTCTCACATCTCCAAACAGGTACCATACCTAGGAGGTGGCCATGGGGCTCTGTACTATGTGGGGGCATTTCCCTTGGCTCCCCAGAGATGGAAAGCTACCTCTTAATTTGGAGACTCAGAGATTGATACTATTTTCCTTTGAATTGTAAAAGGTAGGCCATCCTCTAAGTGGAGTGGGGTGGGACGATACCTTGAGGGAGGTGGCATTTGATCTTATTTCTCAGGGAATGGATCAAGTCCAATTCCAGGGCATCAGTGCCCCCATCCCATCCATCATGCCCTGCAACATGCATGCCATGTGGAATATTAGGGAAGATGTTCCCATCATGAGACTTAACTGCTTCCTCTGTAAACTGGCCTAAGACCTGTTCACTGCCCTGCCTTCTTTGGAGAGTTGCTAGGTTTTGAGGAAATGTGGGGCTGAACTGGGGCAACCATCGCTGTGCCTTATTCGGTTGGTTACCCCAACACGGCCTGAGTTTTTTACAATTCCTCTTCTCCCTAAAGTCACAGTTTAAATTCCTACCATTTGAAATGATAGAAGCCAGTGTCGTTTTTATCTGCCAGCTCTGTCACCCCTTCCAGAGCAGAATAAATCCTAGGATTTGTGTTGGATTCCCCCCTCCCCCATTCTGCACGGATGAGCCAGGATCTGGGCAAAGGGCATTTGATTTGCTCTGCTACAGGCTCCTTGAAGGCTGTGTGATGGCTGGTTGGAGCAGTGGACTGGAGCCAGGGGAAGCCAGTATGACCAGTGAGAGCTGGGGCCTGGGGACCTGCTCAAGCACACTGGGGAAAGGACCCATCAAAGGAGAAGAGTGAGTTCACTGGGGGGCTCCTTTGCCTTCCTTCCCTTTGAGATGCTTCCTTTTGAACCTGCAAAGTGACAGCCCTTCTGTGATCACATCTGGTGTCCCTGGACTTCCAGACAGCTCCAGAGTCCATGCCAATGGGAACAGTTTCTGTGGGCTCCTTTCATGTCCCATCCTCATGGGCCTGCATTGGTCACCCTGCTCCATGGGAGAGCAGAGACCCTGAGTTTCTCACCAGAGCGGAGTCTCATGATCCACTGCATATTTTGTTCCAGCAACAAAATAATGAGCAGACAGACAAATAGATGTGATATTAAAAAGCACACACTTAAGGGAATGTTTTCACAGTGTCTGATGAAAGGAAAGGAGGCAGCCCCACTGGCCCCAGAGAGAGTCTTCTCTAACACTGAGCTGAGCTCATCACTCAGAAGCTCCCTTTGCTCCCTGTTGCCTGCAGGGGTAAGTGTGCTTTTGGTGGAACACTCTTCTCCCTGACCTCGGCTCATCCCTGCCACCCCTCCTGTCATGCTTTCCTTCAGCTGGGCTCACCTCTCACCTGCCCGCCCAGGCCCAAGGAGTTTTCACACCTCTTTGCCACTACACATCCTGATCTCTTGGACTGATTTCCCTTCCTTCCTTTTTCTACCTGTTGAGACCCAGCTGGAATGAACCCGACCTCCTCTAGGAAGCCCTAGGCGGGCTTGTATGCTCCACCACTTCTGCACTTGGGCTTAATTTCCCCAGTATACAGTGAACTCTTGGGGAGAAAAACTGTGCCTTATTGAATTCTGTGCTCCCCATCCTCTGTCTGGGGCCAGACCAGCCTCCAAGTAGAGCTTCCTAGATCCAAAGCCTGAGGCTGCCAGATACTGTGCCTGAACATCTAGTAGAGATCAAGGTAGAGCATGTCCCTGGCTTGCAGACCTCATAGCCTGAGGAAACGGGCAACTTTTCTCATTGGCTAAGAAATTAGATGGGGCTAGCTTTCCTGGGGATCTGGGAAGGAGTTACTGAAATATATCTGAAATACTGGGCTTCCCAGAAGAACTCGCATCAGAAAGGAAGAGAACTCCATTGTGGAATTCTCTGCTCAGAAGTTTCTGGCCTTATTTTCCCTCCATAAAATAACCGCTTTGCTGTGAAAGATGAAGAAAACAGTACAAGTAGGTCTTATCACCAGTATCTGCCTTTCCGGGACCCAGAATTTCATCAAGGAGGAAGATGACTCAGTTTCCTCATTTGTGAAGTGGAGATGACAGGTTGGTAGTTCTCTCATTGGGGCTCTAGGACTGTCTGAGGAATGTGCCAAACCTGCTGTACAGTAGATGCTCAGCAATATTGCTTCCATGTCACTGACTCACCCATTCTTTGGACAAGACCCTAGATCCCTCGGGTGTGATCTCCTTGGCCTATTTTAAACTAAACAATAACTGGGCCCATTGAAGGCCTTTTTCAAGATGGCAGCTAGGGGTTTCTCCAGAAAGGAATTCAAATTTGGAGATCCAAGATTGTGCACAAAGCTGGTATCCTATTTGCCCCATCTGAAGGGACTTTCTTCAGACTAGCCTGTTGCCTTGTTCAATGGCAGTGCTGTCCTATGGTGAGATCTTTTAAGGACATTGCCAGGAAAGATTACAGGCCCGAGAGATTTGTCTTATAGTTACACATCCAAACTTCTCTCCCGCTTTCACTTTGACATAAGAGGCTAGGATTTTACGTGCCCAGAGAAAGTTTTCTTCCCCTATACACTTTGGAAAATAACCAAATCTCTTCTCTCTCCTAAAGGAAGCCACCACCCAAGAAACACAAGGTCAGCCAGAGCCCTGCCCCCGAGAGATGGTTCCTTTTCACAAAGACAAGGAAAGAGCAGCAACGCTCCATGCTCCCCCTCCCACCGATTACAAAAAAAGCAAAGAGAACCTTTATCAAAGGGCTGTGGACACAGCAGGCTGGCCAGCGAATGACAGGTCAAGGCCTAGGCTGGGGGAGAGGTTCAAAATGGTATCGGGCCAAGCCCCATGCAGATTACATGTGAGAATGGGGGCCTCTGCTGTGGTCTCAGGAGCTTCCCGGGGTCACACTGATCCAGACCGGCAGGCATCCAGTGCCAGAGATCTCTGAAGGAGCCTGCAGCGGGCAGCAGAGCAGGGACCCCCTCCCCTTCCAGGAACCCTATCATTTCCATGACGGCATGGAGGGACAGAACAGACATCTCCTCTACTCTCCAGGACACATGAGGCAGGGAGGTGCAGTTGAGCCTGTCACGCCCCAACACTCGCACAGTCGGCTTTGTCATGAGATTCGCAAACTTGAAAAGAACAAAAGCAAGAGATCTGGGAACCAAAAAAAATCCAGGGCCTTGCCGTGGGCACGTGTGTGTGGGCCCATGGCTGTGGCTGGTTGGGTGTGGAAGGGAAGCCTGGGCCTTTCAGAGCAGCATCCCCACAGCTACAGGAGACCCCTCAGAAGGTGCAGGGCCCACCACGGAACACGGGACCACCAGTCTTCTCCTTGGAGTTGGGCAGGGGGCCGCCTCTCAGCCCCTGAGCCCAGTCACTGCCATTCACAGGAAAAGGGGGTTTGGCTGCAGCAGCCTCTGGGCTCCAGCAGGTTCCCCATCCCGTTGGGCTAAAAGGAGCTTAAATATTCCAGTGCCACCTCGTATACAAATTTATACTGTTCCTGAGAGGGGGAGAGGCAGAGAAGCAGCAGAGAGGGTGAGAGAGAGATGAAAAGGAAAAGAGAAATGCATTTAGGTTAGAGACACAGACCTTGGAAGAAACTTTATCTACATCCATACTAACAGTCGACTCAAAATTATCCACATACTTATCCATATCTGGACATGGCCCCGAGTTTTGCCCAGTGCCTGCTGACACCCGTGCTTTTCCAGATGCCCAAGGGGATCATGCTCTTCTTTTTCACTGTTTTGGACACTGGTGCTTCTCAGACTGTAAGGTGCATATGAAGCACCCAGGATCTTTCTAAAATGTAAATTCTGGGTAAACCTGGAGTGGGTTTAGATTCTGCGTTTCTAACAAGCATCTAGTTGATGCTGACACTGCTGGTCTGAGCACGAGAATCTAAGCAGGACCATGCTTCGATTAGGTTAAGACTCTATCAAAGTTCCTTGTGTATGGTCCTTTCCCATCACTGCACCAGGCCTTATGGTCTGGGCTCTGCCTGCCCACCTACTTTCCATCACTTTCTCCACAGTGTCCGAGCCCTGTGCTTACACTGTGCAATTCACATAGGTTAATTAAGATAGGACTGGACTGAACTGAAAATATAATTCACACTCTACTAATCCAGAATCCCTTCCCCTAAGCCTGAATTAGTGATATGAGGATTAGTGGGTCAGGATTAATATTTGGACTGCCCTGCAGGGGAAGGAAGTTGGTGCGGTTGGAAGGGACGGGAGCAGAGCAGAAAACCGTGTGCAAAGGGTGTAGACTGTTAGGGCTCAATAAGCGCCCCGATGTTGGGTGTTTTTTTTTTTTTACTAGATGATGCGGTTTTCTCCAGGTCAGGGGAACTAGGGTTGGCCCCCAGCTGTGGAAGAAGGTTCTTGCGACACTCACCAGGGTCTCCACCATGTTGGACTTGTTGTTACGCAGTGTTTTCACAATGTGGAACACGTCAATGATGTTTTGCTGCTGGATCATCTCACACACGCTGCAGATAGCACAGAAGGTTCCGCTGCGGCCGCCCCCATTTCTACACACAGAGTGAAGAGGTAAGCCATCTTCCTGGGTCACCCCCCCCAGGCACCTGCTGATGCTAAAGCCACATCAGCAGTCGTGGGGGAGTGGCTGCCCGAGCAAATGCAAAGTCACACTATGGTGCAAGCCTTAGTGGTTTGAGTCCCACTACTGCCATGAGCCTGCTTTGACCTTGAACAAGTCATTCCCTGTTCATATAATGGAGGGGCTGGGACTAGATGCTCTTTGAGAATTCAATTAGCTGAAAGTTTCTTTGGTTCTATGAGCATGTGAAAGTCACACACGGTACACTGACCCAAGCAATGTGACAGAGTGTGTGTGTCTGGACGTGTAGTGCCTGTATCCTTGTCTAAAAGGAGGCTCTCGGTCCACCTACACATCCGGTGAAGCCAGTGGAAGGTTCCAGGTGGTTTTAATCATAGTTCTTTCCATCCACTAAGGACAGAAACACCAGAGATGTCGCTGGTAGCCTCAGGTCAGCCAGCCTAAGTTTAGGGGTGGGTCTGGGTGGGTCTGAGATGCTCTATCTTGAGATGACAGGTCTCTGGACCCCCTGGTTTAAGCAAGACCCTGTCAATCTGGAGAGTGGAGCTAGAGGACTCCCAGCAGGGTCATCTCTCTGTCCCTTCTTTCTGGTGCTCCATAATTCACGTTCATGAAAACGCCCCTCCAACTATTTACAGAAAGTCCCTTTAAGGAAACTACCTTATTCAGAAATCCTGGGCATGTTGCCAAGAGCAACTAATGATTTCATGTAATGGCCTGTGTCTAAAGAACATCTGGATGGAAACTAAGGCACTGGATTTCCCAGATGTTTTAACTACAGGACACCCAGTGAGCAGATGTTTCAAGTACAGACAGTTGCCCTCCATTCACTGGCCAGTGCATTTCAGGGTCTCTTGTGGTATCTCTGGCCGCCAAGGATGCCAAGGTCCCTGTTGATAGGAGGACATGCCTGTGCTTTCCTTCAGTTCAAACTGCTGGTCACCTTGGCTCGGGGAGGCATGGAAAAAAAGGTACTCCTGCAAAAAAGCAGGCTGAAAAACAATCACATGGGAAAGAGTAGGAATGGACCCCTCCCCCCCGCCCCCTGGAAAAGGAGGTTTAGTACTTTCTGATGCAAGAACAGCAGAGTTCAAGAGAAAGAGGTAAATGGCTCTGTGCTAAGGTGAGGCCACCGGAGTGTGTGGGAGGGATCTGGAGGGAGCAGGGGTGAGTCTGCAGGGAACCAGCTGCCAGTTTCTGGGATGTGGGCAGAACTAGCTTGGTTTGGCTCCTGTCACCCATCAGTGTGACACTGACACCTCACAGCATCTTCCTGAACCCTGGTTTGTGATTTGCATTCTTTGGGAAAAAAGGATTTTTATAGGTGGTGTCCTTAAGGGGTGTGTGTGTGTGTGTGTGTGTGTGTGTGTGTGTGTGTGTGTGTCTGTCGAGTTTTCCTGACACGTGCATGCAGCACCTATTTGAAAGAAGGGAACAATGAACTATAAGCTGGTTTTAAAAAGACTGAACTCGATCCTGAGATCCGTAAGGTGTTATTAATGGCTCCAGACATCTTTACTCTAAAAAGGGAAGAGCTTGCTCCCATCTTCTCTGACAGATTTTAAGAGACTAGAGTCCTCTCAGTCACTTTCCCCCAACCTTCCACGTTCTAAGGGAATGGTTGCCAGTCAGATATGGCACACATGGCTGTTAAGGCTACAGAGGTGCTCTGGGTCCGAAATCTTTGCAGAACCCTTCTCTGAGGTCACTCTATACTCTTAGGGTAGACTCTAAACACAGGCTCTGAAGTAACAGCCTTTACCACATTTGCATAATTGCTACCATGGTGTCATGAATCTGTATGTTGGAAGATAAATTGTGTTTGTTCTCTAAATATTTCATGACCAAGCACTATAGGGTCTTAAGATGACCTATTTCAACATACCCATTGGACAGATGAGGAAACTGAGGCTCACTCAACTGACTTTCTTGAAGACAGGCTTTCAGCCACAGTCCTCTAAGGAGCCTGACCTCCACCTGGCATTATGACATCAACGTCTATTTGGGAAACTCTGTGCCCCAGCTTTGCCCATTCTGAGAAAAGTGGTGAAGGTTCCAGCGTACCCCAGTAATGGACATAGCAACACAGCCGTGAGCCCACTGTGCCATGGGAATGTGTTCCCAGAGGTCTCTGCATCCATCAGTCAACCCCTCAGGGGCATTGCCTTCCTTTCAGGCTCTCTGTGTCCCTGTTTTCCCAGTACCCCCATAGCAAGAGATGCCCCCGCAGGAGGACATGGTGGATGAGTCTTTGGTTCACTCAGAGGTGGTGTGGGTTAACAGCATCTTAACTTACATGCCAGTGGACTGAAATCAAAGCTCCTCTCCTCTCTCGGCTGCCCAATCCCTCACCTGTTCTGTGCCTCAGATTTTTCACTATAGCATGATAAAATCTACCTCATAGATGGTATTTTAAGAGTCACTTAAAATACCTGGCATCAAACTCAATCAACATATGCCCTTTTCTTCTTTCCCTCCTTTAGGAAATAATTAGAGGATCTAGACAGTGGAACCCACTCTGTCCTAGCTTTCTGGTGACTGACAGCACACATTGTGCCTCCTGTTGGGGGCTGGGGCTCATCTCCCTACTAAGAGTGATGTGGAGTGGTCTGTGAACGGTCACCAGGCTCTGCATCAATGGTGTGTCATATAACCTTAGTTTAGGACAACAAACTGGCAACCCCAGTCCCTGAAAGACTACATTTCCTTGAACACACACCCCATGGCCTCTGAAAGAGGTTGGGAGGTGGTACGGCCAGGCATGCCTATGGCTGGTGTTTGTGGCACTGTCATCCTCAAGGACAGACGCCCTGTCACTGGCACCCCGCTGCCCCTGAGGCCCCGCCCCGGTACTCACAGGCAGTGGACCACGGTGCGTCCCTCCCTCCCATCATACTGCTCCTGCCACTTCTCCAGCCGGCGGACCACTTTTAGCAGAGAGCGCTTGGAGGGGGGCGTGTCACGGTAGGCGGGCCAGCCAATGTACTGGAGGTGCTGGACTATGCGGTACCCGTCCTGAGGCTGAGAGCAGAGAAGCTGTTAGGGCTGTGTTTCTGGGGATGCAGCATTGTAATGGAAGACAGACTAAGTGGGCTGTATGCCGTGTCATCACAGTCTGTGACTCTCCCAGTCTCATCCTTACACCTTTGTGCACACTGACTCTCCTGCCAGGTCTTCCCTGCACCCCCTCTACCTGCAAAACTACTCAGTTTCCAAAACCCAATTCAAATATCCCTTTCTGTAGGAAACACCTTCCCCAACTCACTCTACTGGGCAGAATTCATCTCTCTTCCTGAGGTTCGTGTGCAAGAACGTATCTCATGTTACCACTGGACAGTGAACTGAGGGCAGAGTCCGAGTCTGTCCACCCTGGACCCCCGGTAAAGACTACAGTCTTCATTAGCTATTTCATAGACTACTGATCTGCTCTTCCCACCCAGTATTCCTCAACCTAGCCTGTGAGTTTCCCCAGGGAAGCAACTGATTATTTTTCATCTTGGTGTTCTCAGAGCCTAGCCCAAAGCTTACTGGATCCAATCAAAGCCTGAATCAACTCATGCCAACACAGTGCGACACAGCAGGGAAGCGCTAATTCCTGAGAAGTTTTGACTACATGGCAACAAGTGTGTCGGGAAACAGGCAGATGGCAGGCTGGTGTCTCCCCATGCATCTCTGAGTGCTGGAGCCATTGTTGGGTCTGGAGCTGGAACCGGCAGAGGCATTGCTTCCCCAAAGATGGGATTATCGGGAGAGCACAGCACAGACTCCTGGTTGGTGTGTCTCATCCTCTCCCGCCAGACCCCATCTGTTTTGGGGTGGGGGAGCTGCATGGGAGGCAATAGTGGCTGTATGCTTACCCGAGCCATGTTACAGATGCGGAATATTCTGTGGATGATGTCCTCATCGATGTCTGCCGACACAAACTCCACCTGGATGGGCCCATAGCACCCGGAGGTCTTCTCAGGCCAGTACTGCATACAGAGCTGGGGCAAGGGAGAGGTCACAGAGAGGGGTCAAGGGAGGGGTGGGGAGTGTTGATCTCATTTATTACCAAGCTGTTCTTATTGCCTGCAGGACACACTGGCTAGAAGTATTAGCATATTAGGTGGGAAATGGTGATCCTATTTTTCTGGAATTGAGAGTTGGAACCTACAGCTGAGAGCAAAAGGCAATGGTTGCCCTTTAACCAGACAGTGGTTTTCAGCTCAAGGTTGTTTTGTCAGCCAGGGGACATTTGGCAGTGTCTGCAGACATTTTTGATGGTCACACCTGAGGGTTGCTGTGGGCATCTAGCTTGTAGAGGCCAGGATGCTGCTAACCATCCTACAGTGCGCACGATTGCTCCCGAGTGCAATCCCGCTCCAGATATCAGTAGAGCAGAGATTGAGAAACCCTAGTCTGAGATCCTAATGGTTCCCTACATTTACAGTGCCGTCGAGAAGGAGAGACAGATAATTTATTCCCTGGATCTGTGGAGCTGTTAGATGACTTTAGTTGGGGAAAGAGTATTCAGGTAGGTGGCAGGTGTTGGGGCTCAGAGAGGCCAAAGCTTCCTCAAATTCCCAGTTTCTAAAGGGCATGGAGATGGACCCTGTCTAGGTCTACAGGCCCATATTTGGGGCTCAGAGGGGAGCTAAGATTGCACCTGCAGGCTTGCTGGGGACCACCCAGTGTGAACAAAGAGGCCCTGTGTTAGACCATTGGCAAGGTAATGGAAAATGTCCCTGAGACTCATAAAGACCCACCAAGGCTTTTGAGAGCAGCTTGGGAGCCAGTCTTTCATCAGTGAGGTCTGCCACAGCCTATACCAAGCTTTTAGACAAGCAGCTAGATTGACAGGTGACCAATAGGACTCTACAGCCACCATGGACGCAGGATTTTCATGAAAATGATCCTTCTCCCTTTTGTTGAGAGAGAACAGCCAATTCTCCCTGGGAAGTCATGTGCAAAAACATCTTTTATTCTATTCTTCTTCCAGAACTAGAACCAGAATGGAAGACCAGGGAGGAAGAAGGATGTAGGAGAGAGAAAAGAACCCAACTTCCAGAATGGGAATAACATGTTTACATGATGGTCTACAGGCTAAACCTGGCTAGTTGGCTGAATTTGTAAAGGACAGTTTTATTGAAACACATCCATACTTCTTCGTTTACATATTGTCTGTGGTTGCTACAGTGGCAGATTTGAGTACCATACATAACCTAAAATAGACTTCAAAACCTCAAATATTTCCTTTCTGGTCCTTTATAGAGAAAGTTTGCCAACCCTTGATTTACAGTGTTGTTCTAAGGATAAAAGAGAGATGATACATGTGAAGAAGGCCCTCAGCACATTCCCAGGCATAGAATAAGCATCTGCTAAATTCCAGTGATTTGCATTATTCCAGAACCTATCAGTACCCAGCAAACACAACCACCATAATAATAGCTAACCTATACATTTGAAGGACTCTTTTTGTCATTCCTCTTAAGTAGCCAAGATGAGCAAGTCTAGGTTTCATAATGCAATGGTACCTTGCTTTCTGGGGTCCACGTGGGTTAATTGAGCATATTGAGAAAGGAGGTGTGTGTGTGCGTGTGCGTAGCAGCAGTGGGGGCTGGACAGTTATCTGCTGAGCTGTGCAATAATGACAAATCCACAATTTGAACTTCATTTCTCTTTGCCATTGGCTCTTCTGGCTTGCAACCTTCACAGTAATGAGGGACTGGTAGAGATATGTCGGTGGCTGGCCAAAGAAATCAGAATTAATCAGAACTGCCCATTAAAAAAAATAATAGCCCTTATCACCTGCATTGAATTGAGTCTTTCCAGAGGTTGGCTGTGATCCTGACATGAAGTACATGGGTCCCAGGCTTCAGAGAAAGTGTATTACCCCCAATATTTTCAGTCCGGAGAGAAGGCGGAATGGTTTGTCTCTTTTAATAAGACTTTCAGACCAATTTCTCAAGCTAATAGGTTCTACTGTGCCTCAAACAAGACTCCTATATTTTGGGACACTTCTCTGCATTTGATTTTCCAGGTCACTTTTCCATAATGCCCAGAGGGCTGGGGAAGGTTGCAGGGTCCTTCTAATCCTAAATCAGAGCCATTCTGTCACTTGAGCTCCCTAATTCGCGAGACCACAGCAGCACGGCGACATCCAGCTCGATGATGTGTGGGCAGATGTGGTGTTTGAGCTGCCAAACACCATCAGGTCTCCCACAGCCCAGAATGTCAAACATACTCCATGGGAAGCAGGAGAAAAAAGAAGGGAAGCCAGTGTTCCATGTCCAGTGACCTTTTAGGGCTCAGAAAAGGATTCCATCAACAAGAATGTCCTCTTTGGTTTAGCTCAAGGCTGTACTGGTGTCCAAGTGCTGGGATGGTATCTCAGTCAGTACTGCTATTTAGGCCTGTGTATGCCATGTAGCACAAGGTAGTGGGGCTCCCACTTGAAGTGCTCTGGGTTCAAATCCCAGCCTTGATGCCTTCCAGCTGAGTAATGTGGCCAAATCGTTTAGCTTCTCTGGGTTATGAATGGCTGGGAATCATAATGTGTTACTTAGCACAGGGATCTTTAGTGAATACTCAGTAAATGTGAGCTATAGTTAGTAGGCAGTGTGGGGGGCAGTTACTCAAAACAAGAGGGATAAACTGAGGGTTTTATTTCCCCCCTCAGAATCCTTTATGAAAGTTTCTCCTTAGGATAATATCCATACAACTGCCCTTGTGAAAATTCCTGATCAGCTAGCTTGGGGTAGCAGTGGGGTGGGCACCATCCTGGGCATGGGGATACTGCTCTGCATGTCAAAGGAGAGAGCTGTGGGTTGTTATTAAGAGGGACCCAGGAGAGGACAAAGACTGGGAGCATAGGAGAGCCAGTAAAAGGGTAGAAGATGAATCACTGTGCCATGTAACCCCCCAAACTCCTAAATATTCAGTAAACTGATAACAGGTACAGTGCTCAATGCACATAGTTTCTTGTGGAAACCAGTGAAAAACTGAACTTTGCTCCCTGGGAGACATCGAAATGGAGCAGCAGCCACATATGTGAACTGAGGAACCTGACCATGAGCATGTAAGTACCAGTGATTTACAGAAATCTTGGGGAGGGAGGCTTGTGGTTTCCTTTTCTTATAAAACTGTCCGTTAGTATTTTATTATTTAAAAAATTTTAATTACCATTAGTTAACATACAGTATTCTATGAGTTTCAGGTGTACAATATAATGATTCCTGATCATGGTAAATGATTTTTTTTTTATGGTAAATGATTTTTTAATGTACTGTCAGATGCAGTTTGCTAGTAGTATTTTGTTGAGGATTTTTGCATCTATGTTAATAGGGATATTGGCCTGTAGTTCTCTTTTTTTAGTGGAGTCTTTATCTGGTTTTGGTATTAGGGTAATGCTGGCCTGACAGAAAGGAAAACTTCTAAATTTATGCTCTTTTTTGGAAAAGTTTAAGAAGAATAAGTATTCTTCTTTAAATGTTTGGTAGAATTTTCCTATATAGCCATCTGGTCCTGGACTTTTGTCTGTTGGGAGTATTTTGATTATGGATTAAATATCTTTGCTGGTAAATGGTCTTTTCAAAATTTCTATTTCTTCCTCCTTCACTTTTGGGTTTCTAGGAATTTATCCATTTCTTCTGGGTTGTCCAATTTGTTGGCATATAGTTTTTCATACTATTCTCTTAATGACTGTATGTCTGTGGTGGTGTTTGTTATTTCTCCTCTCATTTGTGTATGTCTGTGGTGGTATTTGTTATTTCTTCTCTCATTTGTGATTTTATTTATTTGGGTCCTTTATTTTCCTTGACAAGTCTGGCTAGAGGTTTATTGATTTTACTGATTTATTTTCAAAGAACCAGCTCCTGGTTTCAGTGATCTGTTCTATTGTTTTTTGTTTCTTGTTTTTTTTAAGTTTCTGTATCATTTATTTCTGCTCTAATCTTTATTCCTTTCTTCTGATAGTTTTAGGTTTTTTTTTTTTTTTGGGTTCTTTTTCTAGTTGCTTTAAGTGTGAGTTTGACTTGAGATTTTTCTTGCTTCTTGAAATAAGCCTGTGTTGCTATAAACTTCCCTCTTAGAACTGCTTTTGAAGCATCCCAAAGGTTTTGGATCATTATATTTTCATTTTTGTTTCAATGTACTTTTTAATTTCTTCTTTGATTGCTGGTTGACTCATTCATTGTTTTAGTAGCATGTTATTTAACCTCCATGTATTTGTGGTCTTTCCAGATTTTTACTTGTGGTTGACATGTAGTTTCATAGAATTGTGGTCAGAAAAGATGCATGGTAGGACTTTAACCTTCTTGAGTTTGTTGAGTATGGTTTTGTGGTCTAATATATATTCTGGAAATGTCCTATGTGTACTTGAAAAGAATGTGTACTCTGCTGTTTTAGAATGGAATATTCTGAATATATCTGTTAAATCCATTTTTTCCAGTGTATCATTCAAAGCCACTGTTTCCTTGTTGATATTTGTTTAGATCTGTCTGTCCACTGATGTAAGTGGGGTTGCTAAAGTCCCCTACTGCTATTGTATTATTATCAATTATTTCCTCTATGTTTGTTATTAACTGTTTTATGTATTTGGGTGCTCCCACATTGAGCATATATATTTATAATTGCTATATCTTCTTGTTAAATTGTCCCCTTTATTATTATACAGTGTCCTTATTTCTCTCTTATTATAGTCTTTGTGTTAATGTCCATATCGTCCAAAGTAAGTATTGCTACTTTGATTTCTTTTGACATCCACTTGCATAGTAGATGTTTCTCCAACCCCTTACTTTGAATCTGCAGGTGTCTTTAGGTCTAAAATGATTCTCTTATAGGTACTTTTTAATCCACTCTATTACCTGTGTCTTATGATTACTTAGTCCATTTATATTCAAAGTAATTACTGATAGATATGTATTTATTGCCGTTTTATTACTTGTTTTGTGGTTGTTTCTGAAGATTTTCTGTGCTCTTCATGTTTTGCTGATTTTCTTTAGTG